TCAGCAGGAGAAACAGAGAGCAGTGTCTGGGTGCTGACAGCAGCCCTGGGGAGTTCCGTGACATCCTGTGACCTTCCTGAGCAGATTCTGCAGATATGGCAGAAGGGAGGTGGCAGCCTCAACCGCCTGGAGGGTGTTAAGGATAAGAGGTTTAGATAAGAGAGCCTCCCGGGGCTGCAGGAGGGATCTGTGCAGCCTGCAGAGCTCCAGGGAGGCTTCCCCTTGGACAGGAGCAATTTGGGCCATGCCTGTAAAGGCCGAGCCAAGACAAGAGCTGCGGGATTGCCTCAGCATCTCCGCACCGGAAGGAAAAGGCTCACCAAGTGCAAGGGCGGGACCTCCCTGCAGATAGGAAATGTCCCAGCGGTTTCGGAGGCAGCTTCGCGTGCCCCGTCCCTGGGCAGGCTGCAGTGCTGCGGCCAGGAGTGAGCACAGCCACAGCTCTGCCCCAGCGCTTGCTCCTTCACGGGTGCTTTTACCAACACATAAGTGAGGCTTGAGCCAGAAAACGCATGGCTTGTCAATAAAAAGAGAAAAAAAACTCACCATCCTTCCTCTGCTGGAAGAAGTTTGCTCTTCCCTGTGCAATTCCCCTGTTCAAGCTCGCCGCTTTGCAAGGCGCAAGACACAAATCCCAGTTTAACAGTGTTGATTGAAAACAAGTCAGAGTCACTCCCACAGCCTGTCGCTTTGCTGCTTGTCAGGTCGCAAGAGCAGTTTGGGAAGCAGTTGTGCAAACCCAGGGGTGCAAGTGCTGTGCTCCTCCTTCCTCCCCCCCACCAGGGTACCTGCCCCAGCACACCGGCCTGGGGAAGGGGGAGCAGGGAGCCTCAGGGACATGGGCTTTCTGATGGCAGAAGAGGGAAGAGCTCCAAGGAAAGATGGGGGTGCTCGCCAAAGCCTGTGCTCCTCCCTAGACAGGCGGGAGCAGTAAGCACCCCTAGCTCGTGGCAGAGGGGGGCAAAGCGTGTGACTACAGCCAGCAGGCCCCTAGGTAATCCCCTCCCCTGCATTAGACCTGCCACTCATGTAACACTCAAGTTCTTACCGGATCATGGCCAAAACCACTTATCACAGGAGTTATTTAAACTCAATTGTTGCACAGCTTCCTAAAAAAAAAACCCAAAAAACAGGCAGCAACAAGCACACCTCAGCCCCAGCTCTTCTGCCTGCACAGGACTCTGCTCTTTTCACCCCTGACTTCAACCAGCCCAGGGCCAAACAAAGCCCAAAGAGCACCTACCTCCTGCCCAGGGAGCCAAGGCTTCCCCACTGCCCCCCAGTCCACTCCAGCATCCTCCACTGCCCCCCCCTCCAATCCAGCATCCCCCACTGCCCCCCCCACTCCCACATCCCCCACTGCCCCAGCCCAAGCCTGGCTGCCCCAGGGATTTGTAGCCCTGCGGCTCTGTCTCGTTGGCTCTCCTGCTGCCAGGGGGCAAAAAAGCAGGGCTGGCAGCAGCACCCCATCTCCTTAGTGAGGGCTCCGTGCTTGGCTGCTTTCCTGGTCTCCCCTCCCTTAAAATCTTGCTGTGGCAGGAGTAGAAAAAAAGCTCCTCCTCTGCTGGGGTCATCCTATCTGCTCATCGTTCCTTATGCGCCAGTTGGGGGCTGCAGGCTACAGCAATTCATTAATGAGCCAGGCAGCAGGGGGGGCTCTCCTAGCTCTGTCCTGCTGGGGTTTGCCTCTCTCACCAGCTTCCCACCAGCTCCCTATTCGCCCAGGAACCACTTTTCTCTCCAGCAAGGCTCAGTTGCTGCTTATGACTCCCTGCCTTCCTGCCCTGGCCAACGGAAGACTTTTCCCTGCTGCTAAATATGAGCCAATTTTCTTACAGAGTACATGTGTTGCAGAAGTCATCCCCGTTACACCTGTATGAGTTACAGGGGGTTTGGCACATGAAATACAGGCACAATGGAGAGAAGGTGGAGTTGGGAGCAGGGCTACATGGGACAAGGTGGGCATCAGGTAGCTGTGCCAGGCTCCCTCACCCATGAGGTTCACTGCTGGGTGCACACAACAGGGCTAAAAACTGAGCCTGGCTCTGAAAATGCATTTCCAAAATACTCCTGCATCCATCCCACTCCCACTGTCCCTCCTCGCTCAGGTTCTGCCTTGCAGGTCCCCAAAAGAAGCAGCCCAGGGCTGGGATCTGCCTGGAGGAGGTGGTGGTGCTAGAGAAGCAGCTCTTGGTGCTTCCAGAAAAATCACTGTTCCCTTCAGGAAGGGACGAGTTACAGGAAGGCTTGTGCACCAGGATAGGACATCTCCACTTTCAGCTGATTCCCACAGCCACGCCACAGCTTGGGAATCATGATTTTGGGGCAGAGCCGGTTGCACAGTGTAAATCAGCATCCCTGCCCGTGAAACCAGCCCAGCTGCGCAGAGCTACAGCACCCGAAGTCCTGTGGCAAGGGAAAACTCATCTCTCCAGGCAAAACCACTTGCATGGGACTGTGTGCATGGAAGAGCTCAGCTTTTCTGCTCCCAGCCCTTTTTCCGTCAGGAGTCAACCCTTCCAACACCAAAAGTGCGGAGATTTTACCTGCCAGGCACTATTTCTGTCTTCCAGGCAGCTGCCCTGAAATGCAACACTGGAGAAAAAGGCAAATTTCTTACGCTCTTAAAATTACCTGAGAAAGCTTGAAAGTCTCCAGCTGTTAAAACTTGAGTGCTCAAAATGGCTCTTGCAGAAGGTGCTGCCAAACACCCCACCTTTGCACACCCCGAGGGTCCTGCACCCCCCCATCACGCAGCCGGTGGCTATTTCTGCCTTAGCGCTGCGGTGAGGGCTTTAATTTAAGAAAGCCATTTAGTTCTTTTTTTTAAAGCACAAAAACTACCTCCAGATATGGCATAATGGGATCCAGTTACCTAAAAAAAAATCCAACCGATTCCTCCTCCTGACTCCTTCAGTGAGGGGTGTTATTGTCTCTGGTAATAAATGTTGGAGCAGGAGGAGCAATATGCAATTTTCTTTTTTTTTCCCCCTGTTCCACATCAAATTTGTGGCAGAAGTTTGCCTCTGTGGGTGCAGAGGGCTTTGCTTTCCCTATTTCCCCAGCAATGGCTGGAACCTGTCTGGATGCTCGTTTTCATCACAAATTGCAACGATGCTCGTCTGTGCCATCGTTGTTTGTTCCCTGTGTGCATTCAGCTCCTGGCCAAACACAGGAGAAATTTTGCTTATATAGAAATATAACCTTATACAGGAATAACTTACAGGAATAACCACAACTGTCGTACCACAGACATTTACTTCCAGCTGCCTTTGGTTTTGACAGAGCAGGGATGTTCTGTATGGCTTTTCGAATAAGATAATTACAAAAATACTGAAACAAAGCTTTGCAGCGGTTAACAAAGTTAACGAATTGTCTCCAAATGAAGCCTTGAAATACACTCGGCTCAGCCTCACACATAGATGCCCACCCCCATGACCTGGGGAGTGGGTTGTCACGATGGATGAATTGCCCAGCGCCAGGCAGAAGCAGAGGGAATATGCAGAGAGGAGGGCAAGAGCGTGCCGAAAGCGCGGCCCCGTGGGGTGTCCTGGCAGGGAGTGGTGCCGCAGCAGCCGGCAGTGGGGCTGCGGGTTTGTGCTGGAGCAGCGGAGTCTTTGCCCTTAAACATCTGGGTTCCCATGCTGCCAGAGTCTGCCTGGGCACCAGTGAGGGGCTGGAGCCACTTTTGGGGCAACACTACAATAAACTCTTTAGCGAGGTGGAAAACCACCATACAAATACAGCCAAACACAGCGTTAGATCCTGTCAGATTTTCAGCTGCTGTCACTGATAAAGGAGCGATGCTTTCGATAAAACATATTTAGTGTGTGCCAGAAAGTAAATTATCAGCAAAAAAAGAGAAGAGCGTGGGACAGGGGGGGTTGGGGAGCCACTTCCCAGCAGCCATGCAGGAGGAACAGGAGCACCTTTGCCGTCCCCTTTGCACCAAGACCCTAATGCACCGCACCCTCCACCCAGGTCCCCCCGGCATTTGGATCTAACGCATGCATTTGGATATAACATTTCTTGCTGTCCTGCTGCCCAGGAGCTGCCAGTTCTGCCTGGCATCAGCATGAAAAAAAGTCAGTCCAAGGGGACCAGTGGGTTTGGGAGATTCAGCCTGCATAAATAACACAGCCAAAGGGGGAAGCAGGGCGGGTGCTGGGTGCAGGGAGCCAGGCAGCCCACCCACAACCCCCAACCACTGGGCTCTTCCACACCCTGCCTGGCCAGTCTCTGGCATGAGCTACCCCAATGCAAGGGGCAGGTTTTTATTCCCAGCACCATTGCTGTATGGGTGAGGTCTCCAAATGCACAGGGATGATTTCCTCTTCATCCCACCCACATCTCCTGCTCAACCTCACCCTCTTTGAGGCTGCTCCAAGGAAATGTCCGAGCATACAAGAGCAGCAGCTCTGCTGTCGAGCCAGCTCCTGCCTGAGCAGAAAGCCAGCCCGCGTGTCCCACTGGCGCTGCTGGCAGCAGGAGCAGCCTGTGGGGCCGGGCGCTGGCTCACACGGTCCGTGCTGTGCTGTAGGGCTCTCCTCTGGGCTGTGGGGCTGACGGCACATTGACATAGATCTCCTGCTGCTGCAGCAGGGAATTCCGCACGCTGGCATATATAACCTCTTTTCTCTCTTCCGAATGCTGGGAAAGGAAGGGGATAAACAAAAAACATCCTTCACAGGGTTGCTCCAGGGCAACACTCTCTGCTGGAACCTCTCTTGGCTGCTTTAAGCACCCAGGAGCAGCTGTGGGGGCCCACCTACCCCGGCTTTCCACCCACTGCCTCAAGCTCAGCACTGCTTTGCATCCTCCTACCTTATTGCTCTGTTTGGGCGCGGTGTTTGCCAAGCGGTGGAAAGCCTCGGCATTGCTGTACAACTGGGTCTCAGCTGTGCCCGCCCGGTGGTTAATGGCCGCGTAGTTCAGAGCATCCTCTCCCTGACACGTGAAGGAGGGGGATGAGCTCTTAACCTGCTGCTGCTCCCCTGCCTGCAGCCCGCAGGGGTGGGAACATCTCCCATCCTGCTGCCTTTCCCGATGAGAGCTGAGATGGCTGCAGGAGCACTGGGGGAAACTTTAACCTGAAGCAAGTGCTGACTCAAATTCCCCAGGGGAAATACAGTTAACCACACAGGCCCCTCCTCAAAAGCTTGCAGAAAACATTAGAAAATACTTCCCATGCAGTAACCGAAGATCAGCTGCCCTGCAGCCCCCTCACGTGTGCTTTGCTGCAGGTTCCCAGGGCTGTTTTACCCAGAGAAGCAGCTCCCATGTTTGGAGGGACTTGGGGAGAAACCTCTCAGCTCAGTCCTAAATTCCCTTCCCAGGAATACTCTGTGATAGTCACACAAAATCCCTGGCTGTATCTTTCTGTTGGTGAATGGAGCCCAAAGGATCCCTTCCAGCCTAAAGGACCGTGAACCTGGCTGAAAGCAAATGGACGCGGCAGCTCCTTTGCTCAGCTCAGGGTGCAGCGTTTCCCCTCCCTAGGCGAGCTCGGAGCACGCCATCCAAAGACCTTGTGTGGTTTGCCTTACTGTATGTGACACGCTGGGAGTCCTGTCCATCTCTACAGCTGCTCTGGAGAAGGCTGGATGAAGCACAGACATGGTTAGACAGGAATGAAAGCAGAGGGGGAAAAAAATGTATTAAAACCTGTGCTGCTGCTGTGAAACTTGCTGTAAAGCAGGAAGGGAACCTGTTGCCCCATCTAAACTGGAGCAGTTCTTCAAATAAATCCAGACCCCACAGGCCAGCGGGTGATGTGTCCCCCCCCATCCCTCCCTGTCCTTCACACTGGCCTTAAACTTTGCATCAAGCCTAGTGCAAGCCTGGCCTATGCAAGTGAGCATGTCTGGAGAAGCTGATGGTGCCCAGACAAACTCAAGCGGGTGCCATGCCAGGCAGCACCCATCCCAAGAGCTGCCATTCCTTGCTCCCATGGGGATCAGACCTGTGGGACCGTCCCACCGCTCCCTTGGGGGAAGGAGACCTCCTTGGTAGGGATCTCAGTGATGGACCCAGGAACTGGATGGATCAGGGAGGGAATGAGGGAGAAAAAAGAAATACAGAGGAAAAACCAAATAGAGCAGAAGACAGGCTCTGGTGCAGAAACTGTGTGTGTGGCAGTGACAGCTTCACTTACCCTTCTTCCTCTTCCTGGACAACATTAGCAAAACACCAGCAGCAACTGCGAGCAAAAGAAGAACCACTACGATGATGGGAATGAGGATGTGCTCAACCACGTCCAAACTGCAAGAAAAGAAAGAGTTTCTGCTCTCACGCTTCTCCTTGGAAGCAGATGCACAAGGAACCAGCACGGAGCAGGAGCGGCTGTGGGTAACGGGCCTTGCCTTGGGAGGAAGGGAAGGAGGAGTGGGGGTGGTCAGCTGCAAGCTGGGCATGGAACAAAACAAACTGAAAACTGCAGAAGCAAACGGACACTCGGGTCTGAAAGCTGCTGTGCCTTCACTATTTTAAGGATCAGTTCCTGCACCTAATTTTGCTCTGATCTAGCTCCACGATTTGTTGACCTTGTTGTAATGGGCAATCAGGCAAGGTCAGTGTGCCAGCTACCCCGTGAGCCTGCTGATGGGAAGCCTCAGCTTTGCCCACTGCCTGCATCACCTCCAAGAGGCAGGAGAGGAGGAAGGAAGCTCTGCCGCTCCGGTCTCATGCTTTGCCAACTACATCTGCAGGGCTGGCTGTGACTACAAAGCAGAACAGGACCCAGCTCAGCACTTTGTTTCCCACAAGCAAATGGTCCCTCTGAGTTTTGGGGAAGGAAACAGGGTCACTGCTACAGCCAGAAACCACTTCTTGCATGGCGATAGCCTGCACCTTGCTTAAGCTGCAAGACAGAGAGGGGACAAGCAGGGCTTTGCTGGGGCCAAGCGACCAGGGGTGCCGAGATTATTTTCCATGCAGAGTGGCTGGCTGAGAGGATGAAATGCTGGTCTCTAAAGGCAAAAGCAGGAGGTCTGAAACCTTGAGGGAGGTATGAAGAGCTTGGAGGGTTGCAGGGCTCCAGCTGCACCACAGAGACCTCACAGAGGGAGGTGGCTGTGCGAGCAGGAGCTGGTACTCACTGTGGAGGGTTGGAGCCTTTTTGGGGGGGCTTTGAACTTGGTTGCACAGCTTTCCTCTGGGGAGTTGTCTGTGTGGGGACTGTTACAGAGCTAGTGAGATTGGGGTGCTTGGTGGTCGGGGTGTAGCATGATGATGGGGAGGGGGAAGAAGGAGCTGTAACAAAAATAGGAGAGGCTCGGTCAGTCTCCCTGCCTCTGCAGGGGAAGATGCTATGGGTTTTGCAGCAAGTCAGACATGACCCACTTACTGTCACACCAGGAGAAGCTGTGTCCCCTCTGCCACATCCAGAACATGCTCCTTGAGGTAGGAGGGCTGCAATCTCCTGTCCCTGTCCAGGAGGGTTTTTGCCATCCTGGCCTCCCCCCTGCCCTAAAACGCGCACAGGCACGCACACACGCAGCAGAGTTCACCCTGCAGGAAGGGGGTCTGGGCACCCCATGCCCAGCCCAGCACCAACACAACAGCCCCATTTAAGTGTCCCACCGCAGGGACTGCTGAGGGGACAGAGAGGGACTTTCCCTAAGCCCAGGGCCTGGCACCCACAGGCACTGGCTGTCCCACAGCGGGAAATGGGGCAACACAGCAGGCTGAGGAACTCCCTGCTGTTATAAAATAAAGCAAGCAGAACAAAGACAGGGCTAGCAGAATCTGATGAGAGGGGAAAATGGGGCATGCCGAGCAGGGTGGTGCACCCCAGCGATGGGGGTGACTGACCCTGGGGCACCAAGAAGGGGCTGTGGGGAGCCCTGGGCATGGGGAATGGGTGAGGGCAGCACCAGCTGTGGCAGCACACTGCTGAGACCTGGTGACAGATCCTGGGGCTGTCCCATGGGACCTGGGCACCCACCCCCTCCAGGCTGCCCCTCCCTGCAGCCCCTGCTCCCGGCACCAACACTAGACCCAGGGGACCTACAAGTACTGACCTAGGGACACGATCACCTTCACATCGTGACGATCATCAAACTGGCCTATGCCCGTTCGCACCCCACAGCGGTAGGTGCCCTCGTCCTCCTTGGCCAGGCGCTCCATGGTGACCGTGAACACCCGCTGTGCCTGATTGTCCTCGATGGAGAATCGGCCCCGCCGCACCACGGGCTCCTGCTCCGAGGTGATGACCAAGTCTTTACCACAGGTAGAAAATATTCCCGGTTTGCACCAGAATTTCGGCATCTTCTTCTGGTCGTACCAGTACGTGCAGTTCACCGAGATGGACCTCCCCAAGAATCCCCGCACAGTGCCGGGCCCCCTCACCGCCCAGCAGCCTGCAGAGACAGACGGAGCCGTGGGAGCGCTGCCGCCGCCCGTCGGGCCCCTCCCCACCCCCGGAGCGCTCCGGGGCTCGGGTGCTCCG